CAGTTGAAAGCATGCTATACATATAATTTAGTAACTTTTTATATAATCTAGAAAGCTTTCCATAACAACATACCTCTCTGCCTCATAGTTAAATCTCAAGATATGACATGGATGTAGAAGATGTATTTAACCAGAGCTTTAACATGTTCATTTTCAAGCATACTTTATTTTGCACTTAATTTTTTTTTTTTAATTTTTTAAGACAAGGTATCACTATGTAGCCCTTGCTGGTGTGGAACTCCCTGTGTAGACCAATTTTGATTGTTTTGTTTTGAGACCGGGTCTCTCTCTGTAGATCAGCCTGGCAGATCTCAAACTCACCGAGATCCACCTGGGCATGTATCACCATGCTCAGCTTCATTTTGCTCTTATATGACTGTATCTCCATGGTAAACACTTCAGAATGAAAACACTAGCTCAGAGACGTGTGCCTTGTTATTTCATTTTGGATGTACACAGCATTTCCACCACCACCCCAAGACAGGGTTTCTCTGTGTAGTTTTGGTGCCTGTCCTGGATCTCACTTTTGATTTTTTGATTTAGTATTGCCAGACTGCCTTCCACAGAAGTTTAAAGTTTTTGCACCTACCATGCACTCATGAAAAGGATCTATTTGACAGCATACTTGTACCATATGTTGTCACACATCTTAACTTTTCTTGACAATCTGATATTGGAAATTATCATTTCATTGCAATTTTATTTTTCATTTCCTTTATTGTAAGCAGAGTTGCATATAATATGTTTAAGTGCATTGTATTTTTTTTGTAAATTGTTTACATTCTTTTTTAATATTTTGCTGGTTATTGAATCTTAGTATTTGTTCACTGTACATTAAGTTAGAAATCCTTCCCCTTTTTCCAGTTTATTCCATCTTTCATTTTTATTTATTTAAATAATTTTTTATTTTTATGATTATGAGTGTTTTGCCCGCATGCGTGTCTGTGCACCATGTCTGTGGGTGGTGCCCACGGAGGCCAGAAGAGGGCTTTGGATTCCCCAGAACTGGTGTGATAGGTGGTTTCGGGCTGCCATGTGGGTGCTGGGAATTGAACCAGGGGCCTCTGGAAAAGCAGCCAGTGCTCTTAACTGATAAGCAAGCCAGCTCCTATTCTATGTAATTTCAAACTGTTTATGGTTTTGCTGTACAGTAGCTCTTTGTGAGTGTGTGTGATATGTACATGCTTGTATGGGTGCATGTGTGTGTGCAGGCGCATCACAGTTCTAGAGGGGGGCAGAGGTCAAACACAGAACTTAGACATCTTCCTCAATCATTTTCCCTGAGCTTGGGGCCAGTGTTTAGGCTAGGCTGGCTGGCCAGTGAGGTGCAGAGACCAGCCTGCCCCTTCACTCCCAGATGCATTGTCACACCAGGCTTTTTCTGTGGGTCCTAATGCTTAGGAGCATTAGGTCCTAATGCTTTCAGAGCAGGCCTCTACCTGGAGGAACCATCTCCACAGCCCCAGGAATTTTGTGTAGATGAATTTATCAATTTTTAAAAAATAACTTTTGGGTTTCATATCACATTTAGAAAAGTCACTACTTAAAATTATTTTTAAAAACTTGTTTTCCTTAAAAGGCATTTTGTATCTTTGAATGTATAAATTTTGATTCTTCTGGAATTTATAATGGGCATAAAGATTTGAGATAGAGATACGGCTTGGTTCATCCAACTCTCCAAATCTTCTGTATTGTTTTTGAATATTATCTTTATAAACTCCAAATGTCTTTGAGTCTATTTTATTTATTTATGTGTATGGGTATTTATTTCATGTATGTCTGTGCACCATGTGCATACCTGGTGCCTGAAGAGGCCAGAAAAGGGTGTCAGATCTCTTAGAACTGGAGTTATGGATGGTTGTGAGCCACCATGTGGGTGCTGGGGATCAAACCCAGGTCCCAAGAGATAGTAAGCACTCTTAATAGTCTCTCTTTAAGCCTATTTTTCCCACTGATCTATTCATATTCTAATACCACACTGTTTTAAAAATTGATACATGCTGTGTATTTTGACATTTAAAAAAATTAACACATAATACATGTAGAAATGATAAATGTACATCTTGTTGGTTCATGACAGGATCTGGTTCTGTAGCCCAGGCTGGCTTGGAACTCACTATGTAGTCTAGGCTGGTCTCAAACTCAAGGTAATCTTCCTGTCTCACCCTCAAGAGTTCTGAGACTACATGCATGAGTTGCCATACCTGGCCATTAAATACATATCTTGATGAACTTTCAAAAATGGGATATCTTTGGTAACCAGCACCAAGTCTAACAGCAACATTACCAGTGTCCAGAAAGTCACTCATGAGTTCCCTTCCTGTCATTACTCCCCTCAAAAGGGAGCCACTGAGTATGTACTCTTTTGTGTCTGGCTTCCTTTGTTCAAATCATTTCAATGAGATTCAGCCTTATTATATATACATTTTGTCCATTCATCGTCCCTCTTGTGCCATATTGCATTGTGAGGATTTTCCACAATTTACTTTTTTATTGCTAATATTATTTTTGAGACAGGGTTTCTCTGTGTAGCCCTGGCTGTCCTGGAACTCATTTTGTAGACCAGACTGGCCTCGAACTCACTGAGATCCGCCTGCCTCTGCCTCTGCCTCCTGAGTACAGGGACCTCAAAGGCATGTGCTACCAATGCCCACCAGAATCACCTGTTTTTAGACTAAAGGAGCATTGCTGTATTTATGATACAGAATCTTCCTGCAAGTTTAAGTCTTGGGTGTCCCATCATTGTGTTTTAAAGTTTTCATCATATAGAATTGACATGTGTCTTAAGATTATTCCTAGATGGTGGGAGGAGGGAGGACAGGGGAATCTGTGGTTGATATGAATAGAAAAATCTCTGAATTAAAAAGAAAAAAGATTATTCCTAGATATTCGAATGCCTGGATTACTATAGCAATTTAAATATATTTTATATATTTTCATGTGTAGGTAGGTATGTTCACATGAATGTGGGTAGCTGTGGAGGCCTGAACTGGAGTTTCAAGCAGTTTTGGCCACCTGACATGAGGGCTAGGATCTGAATTCAGGTGCTCTACAAGGGTAGCAAGCACTTTTGACTGCTGAGCTATCTCTCTAGTTTCCCATTTACATTTTTAATTTGTTTTTGATGAAATAATTAAGTAGTTTATTTATTGTGAGGTTGTGTGTAAGTGCATGCCATGGTGTGACTATGGCGGTCAGAAAGTGTGTTGTGTTTTTTTTTTTTTTTTTTTTTGAATGATTGTGGTATGTGTGTGGCCGTTAGAGAACAACTTGTGAGTGTTCTTCCTGCCCCCATATGGGTCCAGGGGATCAAATCGGGTTGTCAGACTTGGTGGCAATCGCCATTACCTACTAAATCATCTGGTTGGCCACTATAGCAATTTTTTTTAATTTAAAAAGGTGGGGTATTTAAATCCAAAAAATAATGTCCAGTATTGCTATAAAGAGCACATGATTACTTTGTAGGCCCATCATCTTCCAGCTTCAGTGTGGGTGAGGGTGGATCAAGGAGAGATGGCTCAGAGGTTAAGAGCACCGACTGCTCCTCCAGAGGTCCTGAGTTCAAGTTCCAGCAACCACATGGTGGCTCACAACCATCTGTAATGAGATCTGGTGCCCTCTTTTGTATATGTAATAAATAAATAAATCTTAAAAAAAATGCTATCTTTAAAAAAAAAAAAAGAAATGAAATGAAATACAAGTTCAAAGTAGGGTTAAAAACTAAAATTACAAAACAGGAAGAGTTTCTTTTTAACATGCTTTTAAATTTAATAGTGTGTGTGTGTGTGTGTGTGTGTGTGTGTGTGTGTGTGTGGTCATGCTCGTGCAATGGCACATGTGTCAGAGGACAACTTGTGGGAGTTGTTTCTCTTCTTCCACCTTGTGGCTTCCACAGAGGGAACTCAGGTCATCAGTCTTCACCTGCTGAGTTATCTCCAGCCCTGGAGGGATTTCTTAATCAGGGTAATACAAATTGAGGTGTTGCTGCTTTTCAAGGGGGTTCCTATCTTTGTCTGGGTAGGGAGTTGGGGAAGCAGAAGGAATAGGTGAAATGGCTTCCAACTCACTCCTAAGTCACTGTGACTCTTGGATTTGTCTTCTCATTTCCCCCAGGAGCACAAATCAGGGTTGAAACTGTGAGATGCCGGGTTGAATAAACTGTGATTTCTTTACTTTCATTTCTAACTCCTAAAAGGCTTCTCTTTTCCTTGAAAGTCTTCTGAACAGGCTTCAGGAGGCTATAGGTAAAATGAGTTAAAGTCTAGGCTGCCTGGAGGATTTAATGGACAGGTGTTTCTACTCAGTAAGCCAAAGCAGGAAGCAGGCTTTACTCAGTTAAGAGTGCATACTACTCTTCTGGAGCGGTTCCCAGCACCCATCCCGGACCACTCACAACCATCTGTCACTCCAGATTCAGGGGAGTCCGAGGCCTCTGGCACTTGTACTTGCATTCACAGGCCCACACAGTGACGTGTGTGTGTGTGTGTGTGTGTGTGTGTGTGTGTGTGTGTATGTGTGTGTATGTGTGTGTGTATGTGTGTGCGCGCGCGAGTGTGTATTTTTTTTTTTTAAAGCTGACTTTAGATAGCATGGGGTTCTTAGACAAAGGTAGCCTGGCTCCAGAGCTCTAACTCAGCATTCCCTCCCCCAGCCACATGCTAATGGTCCTTTCAACTAATACTGTGTTGTGTAAGCCTTTGAAAAGAAAAGCAGCATGTCTCTCTCCTATTGCCCCACTGTGGGAGTTACAGCTTCCTCCCCCATCAATCAAATCTCCACCAGAAATTAGTAATAGGTACCAGGAGGCTTACTTTGGAAATTTATGCTGCCGCTGCTGTCCTGTCTTTACATCAGATTGATCAGGTGTCCCGGGAGAGAGATTCTCAGCCTCCTCCACCACCACACTCTAAGGCTTCCTTCTTGCTTTCCTTTACAAAGCTGTTTGAAGGAACAGGATTTGTGGGCTGTCATTCTGAGATGTTGGCCAGCCCGAGTTACCCTCATGCTTTTTCTTAGACCAGGAGTCCCATCCAGAGGTCCCCAACCTGTCCCTGAGAGATGAATACTGGTAGAGGAAGGGGTCAGGGACTACCATAGCACCTGCTGTAGCATCTTGGTTACACTGTGACTCTTTTATCTTTGTTTTTAGTGGACCCGAGGAAGCAGAGGCAGCCTGAGCACTCACCTCAGCTCTGCCCCTGCAAACAGGCTTCTAAGACCCATGACCTTAACCTGCCTGCACTCCATGGGGTCTGTGATGGCTTTGGGTGGTTGGATAACGGGAAACATTTACCATCATAGCTTACTCCAGATGGTCTCAAGAGAAGTCTGTGATGCTGTACAGGGTTTTCATCCTTGAACAGAATCCAGAACAGCAAAGGAAAGCCAGAAGTCAGAACTCAGAGGAAACAACCTGTCAGGGACCAATATGGGAGATTGCTAAAGTGGCCCCAGAGGGCTTTGGGTCTATAGTTCCCTCAGCCTAGGAGCTTTGGTGCTCTCTTGAAATACAAGGAAAGAGGGTAGGATTGGCTTTAAGAGGGTCCTTTCCAGCAGGGGTAGGCAAAAGCTGGGCAGAGTGAGTGCGTTCAAATGACCTGGTTGCTCTACCATACTGGAAGTCCTTCTTTAAACCAAGAGGTGTCTCAAGTTAGACCCCCTGGAATATCCATGTTTTAATCAGGGTAAAATTCTGGGAGACACAGGCATTCCCTTTCCACCTGTCTCATGCCTGGAATTTCTGCTCCTTCCTGAAGTCCTTGAGGCAGACAGACTAAGAAGAGAGGGAGAAAGTAAAAAACAGAATAGAAGAAAGGCCAGAATCAGAGCTGGACCCTTAACAGTGCAGTGGGCAGGACAGAAAATGTCACTTTTCTCACAATTTCACACCGTACAACAGAGAGGCTCTGAGAGAGTCCATTACAAGAGCGTAACAGTGACTGTGTGGTATAGTAGAAACGGTAGTTTTGAGTCAGCCACCTCTGCCTTCAAGTATAGCTTCCTTATCAACTAGCTCTGTGCACTTGAACAGCTTAATCTATTTTATCTTTATCTTGATGTGAGGATTAAACACACACACACACACACACACACACACACACACACACACACACACACACACACACCCTAGCTTGTGCACTCACAACTGAGCTAAGAGCACCCTTTCTAGGGAGGTCAGAAAGAGGACTGGCTTGCAGATGACCAGAAAAGCTGTGACAGTGCTCAACACGGTGACCTTAAATGAATGGGCTTCACTTCTCCAAGGTTTCCTGGGAAAGCTATGCAAGAGCAAGGACAGGGTGGAGGTGGGGCAGGCATGGGGTCACATGCCTTTAGTGCCAGGCAGAGGCAGGCCTCTGTGAGTTGAAAGTCAATCTGGTCTACGTATGGAGTTCCAGGCCAGCCAGTGAAACTTTGTCTTAAAATAAGGGGGTGGGGGGGAGGGGGAGGGGGAGTTGGAAGGGAGGCTGGAGAGATGGTTCAGTGGTTAAGAGCACTTATTGCTTTTGTAGAGGACCTGGGTTTGGTTACCAGTACCCAGATGTTGGCTCACAACCATGTAAGACTCCAGCTGCGGGGATCTAGTGTCCTCCTCTGGCTTCTGTGGGCACCAAGTACACACACGCTGCACACACAAACACTCGGACACTCTCTCTCACACACACACATGAAACAAAAGAGACAAATCTTAGAATAGGGCACCCACAGGAATCTCCCAGGTCCCGGCCTAATAAGCTGCTGGTAGATGAGGGAGAGGAGGAGGTTGCCCGAATTGTTCTTTGGACAGCGAGGGCGTGGAGGAGCTTGGGGTCTCAGAGTTGCCTATTTCTCAAGAATGTCCTTTTCTCCAGCCTTGCTCTATTAACGCCTAAGCTCCCACAGCCACTTCTGGCGCTCCCAAGTGCTTGTGCGCCTGCGTCCTCGGTCCAGCTTTGCTGGCTCAGTACTGCTCACCTGTCAGGGACAGTTTGAGCTAGGGATCTTGCAGCAGCGAGTGGAGTCTCCTCCTAGCAAGGGCAACAGCAGCCACCAGAAAGCTTATGGTGGCATACGTTTTTGGTGTGAGGTGGGCAGGGACTGGGCAAGGAGGAAGGAAACACTGGTTAGAAGATGCTGCAGTCAAGAGAAAAGGCTCCCTGGGGCTGCATGACTCTCCATTTGCCAGCCCCTCCTCCTGTCCTCCCTGCCCCCCTTCCTCCTCCCTTTCGGATGCTGATGCTGTCAGTGTCTAGAGCTCCCAGCATCTCTGTGCTTTGGGCTCTGCTCCATCCTCTGTTGGAAGCACACTGTAGCAGTCAGCAATTCTACCTCTCACTCCACTTCCCCTTTGAGGTGACATTTATCCAGGGACAGCTTCCCACTGGGGGCCACACTAAATCCAGCTGGGGGAGCTGAGGCTGGTGTGAAGCATCTAGGCAGCTGCTTCCCTCCACTTCTCACGTGGCTGGCTGAGCGCCCCAGCCTTGCTCCCAGCTGCATGTTCTTGTGTGTGTTACGGTGATTCTTAGGAGTTCCCCTCTGGCTTTCCCCTTGCCAGGCGTGCTTGGGATCTGCAACCCCGGAGTGACTGAAGATGTGAAACGGGAGATTGCTGCAGAGGCATCCCTTCAAAGGTGGGGGAATCTGGCCTTCTTCGGCTCTAGAGAGGAGAGCAAGGGGGCAAGGGTGCAAACGGAGAGGAGCAAGGAGCGCTGATCTCTGCAGGCCGCGTGGGCCTCCTCAGCCTTTGTGCCAGGCTTGGGTAGGTGGAGGCTCGATGATGATCAGTAGCTGAAATGGGAGGACTGGGAAGGAGTGGATGGAAGTAAATAAAGTCCCAGGGATCATGTTTCGTTCTCACTGCCACTGTGGTGGCTTTTGACAGTCACCAAGGTGGTGGAGGCTCCAGCAGGCAGCCGAGTGCCAGAGCTGAGTCAGGCCGCACTCACAGGCATCCTCTGCATCCTCGGCTCTAGTTCCTGCTTGCACCCAGGGGCGCTGGCTGGATTTGGTACTGGGTAGCAGAAAAGAAAGGGAGGATGCCTGCATGATGAGTGGACTCAGAAGCTTGTGGTGCTTCCTGGCTCACTTCTGAAATTAATCTTATGGTTGTGTTGGGCAGCTGGTCCTGGATATTAATGGATATAAGTGTGTGAAGAGCAGACCGGAGCCTTGCATTTCTTTCCTACCTGGTGTGGGGATGCCAAGTGGGGGCTGTCTTGGCGATAAGGTCTGTGTCTGCAGCTCCCTGGGGCCCTCAATGAGAGGTGCCAATGCTATTCTCAGACTAGAGCAGCTCTCGGAGTGCAGGTGACAGGTGGAGGGTCGGGGGGAGACATGTTGTCTGACATGAAGCTGTGGTTCAAGAGACTTTAGCCCTACCTTTCCCTTTGGCGTCTAAAGTGGACTTGGGTAGTCTTCAGTGTGGAAGAAAAGATCAGAATAGCTTGGCAGTGACCCGGTTACCCCCAGAGTTCTTATCCCCAGAGGGCCGAGGTGCCACAAAGTCGAAAGCCATGTGGTGCTTGACCCGGCCCTTGCCCTTACTCCAAAGAGCGATCAGGCCGAAGCAGAGGGTCACTGAGGTGAGGAAGGGGAGAAACCCCACTGCCAGCACCACAGCTACACCCCTGCTGTCCAGAAAGAAAGGCCCTGGGATCCCTGGCATGGTGACATTGGGGTCGGAGAGAGTGCCATTTGGCGGTTCAACTTGGACAACTTCTAGCCAGGTCCTCAGGGAGTCATTCCCAGCAACATTGCTGACTACACAGACATAGGCCCCCCTGTCCCGCAGCTGCACCGAGCGAATCTCCAGGGTGCCATCCTCTAGGACCCTTACTCTCCCAGCCCTTCCCAGCCAAGCTCCCTGCGGCCTCATCCAGGAGACAGTGGGGGCTGGATCTCCATCTCCAGAGCAGGAGAAAACAGCATGCCCTCCCTCCTCCGCAATGACCCACCGGGGCCCTGACTTTCGGATCAGGGCTGGTTTGCAAGTGAAGTGGCCCGGAGGCAGGATGTCTGAAAACTCCCTTAGGCTCTTCCCTTGGACATGCTGGGGGCCAGCACAAGCAGGAGGGGAGGTGCCAAAATCCAGGTGGCGACGGAGGCGGAGCAGCCAGAGGAGGCGGCAATCACAGGTTAGGGGGTTACCGGACAGCCTCAGGGTGACCAGTTTATCTGGAGAAGGAAAGGCTGTTTCCTCCAGAGTCTGAAGAGCGTTGTCTGCTACATCCAGCAAGTGGAAGGCAGTCAGGCCATGGAAGGCATGGGCAGCGATGGAAGTGAGGCAGGCTCCTGACAGTCTGAGCTCCTGGAGCCGGATGAGGGGGCTGAGCCTTCGGGCTGGGATGGCCGAGATAGGATTCTGAGATAGATCCAAGACCCGGAGGAAGCTCAGGTGGTACAGTGCTTGGAAGGGTACTGAGCTCAGATTGCAGCGGGTGATGGCCAGGGTGCTCAGATTGAGCCCCAGCAGGCTCCCTGGGTCCAGGGCCTCCAGAGATGGCCAGTGGTGGATCTCCAGCTCCTTTAGCTGCCCTAGCCCTCGAAGTGCCCCAGCTGGCAGCCTCTCAATATCCAGTTCTCGAAGCCTAAGAGCTACTAGAGCTGGGAGCTGGGCAAGGGCTAGGCCAGGCACTGTGCTGAGGTTGCAGCGTTCCAGGGTGAGGGTACTTAGCTTGGCCAGCCCTGTGAAGGCCCCAGGAGCCACAAACACCAGGTGATTGTCTCCAACCTCCAGCTGCTGGAGGCTGCCTAGCTCACCAAAGGCTCTGTCTAGGAAGAGGACGATCTGATTGAGGCGGAGGTCCAGCAGTGTGAGAGCAGACAGGCCTGAGAAGATCCCAGGACCCACAATTCTCAGTCGGTTGCCCTGGAGCCTCAGGGTGCGTAGACTTTGTAAGCCATGGAAGGCCCCAGGCTCAAGGGTAGAGAGCTGGTTGTAGCTGAGGTCCAGTTCTTGGAGCTGGCCCAGTCGGGAGAGCATGCCTCGCTGAAGCCCCCACAGGCGGTTCCCGCTCAAATCCAGGAGCTCTGTGTCCAGTGGAAGCCCTCCAGGGACAGTGTCCAGTCGCCTATGGGCACAGAGTACTGCCCGGGTCTGGGAGGTGCAGTCACACACAGTAGGGCAGCTACTGATGCTCCCCCCAGGTAGGAGGAGCAAGAAAAGGAGCGGGGACCACAGGAGCCAGGCTTGCTTTGGAGCTGTGGCTGCGTCCATCCCCTGAGGCCTGGAACAGATGATGACATGGCCTTTTTTGGAAAGTGGCTTCAGATGATGGTGACCCTGCACTCCCCTGAGCCTCCTTAAAGGGGAGGAAAAGTGGCCTGTTGTTTCAATCTTGCCAGCAAGTGTGACATATAACTGGGGAAACCTGTATCCCCTTCTTGGGGCTTCTTGAGGCTCCTCTTATGGGGAAATCTCTCCTTTGCAGCCCTGAATAACCAGTCATGAACTTCCTGTGCATGGATCCCTAGTCAAGCTGATTTCTGTGGTAGAAAGTTTAAGAGACTGAGTAGTAGGGAAAGAACTCAGCGTTTCCCTGCATTTCCCCTGTATTTATGAGACCAGGAATACCTCAGGTCCTGTTTCTGTGACATCTGCTCTCTGCAAACAGAACTCTGTTCTGTTCCTCTCATCCCTCCCGCCCTTTTTAGTTTGTTTATTTTTTCTGAGACAGGGTTTCTCTGTGTAACAGTTCTGGCTGTCCCAGAACTCAATTTGTAGACCAGGCTGGCCTCGAACTCACAGAGATCCACCTGCCTCTGCCTCCTGAGTGCTGGGATTAAAGGTGTGCGCCACCACTGCCCGGCTCTCTTGCCCCATTCTTGTTCTCCCATATTTTGTGCCTACATCTTTACCTAAGGCTCAGGGAGATGGCATCCAGACTGGAGTTCCTGACCCTGTGCTGACTGGAAAGGGGACCTCGCCTTGACCAGTCATCAGAAGCAAAGGGACATGCAAGCTTCAGCTTTGCTCCGGTCTCTGTCTTCTTTCAGCCTGGCCCAGGGCCCAGGCTCTGGACTAGCCAAATTGGTGTCCCCGGAATGTTTGTGTGGATGACAAGCCTGGCTGTATATTAGCTATGGAAAGGAGTGCAGGGGCACTGGATGACGAGATTGGGGATCCCTTACAAGAGCCCCAGGGACAGCACCTCTTCCTCTATAGAGGGGTCGGGATGTGGAAACCATCCAAAGGGTGCTGAGGTTTTGCATGGGGTCCTCAGCCTTGGGCTTCTCTTCTGTCCTCCCTTATTGGTGAGTCTAGTTTGGACGTGCATCTGAAGGGAGCGTCTACCCCTTTCCGCATGAGCTGCCCAAGAAGACACCAGAAACGGCTTGTGATCCAAGGAAGCATGGGTACAGAGGGAGAGACAGCCATGACCAGATGCCATGGGTGGGAGGAAGGGAGCCACTGGCTAGCATAGCAGACACCTGAACACAAGCAGTGCACAGCACCCATCTCTACAAAGTGGGTCTCTGGGTACCAGGAGCCTGGGCAGTATCAGCAGACGGTGACTATGATAACTGTTGGAGGCTGAATAAGGTGACAGAGACGACGGAGGTGTCTTAAGTGCTGAGTGCCTCTGCTTGCCTTGCTCATGCAATAGGGACCTCAAGAGAGGAGGAATGTTAGAATTGGCAAGAGATGGCAGAGGGGCAGGAGCAGGGCAAGCTGGCATTCCTGCAGGCCGCCTGCTGTGTGTCCCCTGGCTGCAGGTCCTGCACCTCTGGACTTTGGGGCTTCAGGTTTCCCGGGCCCTGTGGAGTCAGCTTTCTGCTGCATGTCCTATTTTCTTCCATGTGGAACACAGGAGGAGCTGGTTAGGAGCCGTGGCTCCCCTTTCCTCCCTGCGCTCTAGGAGAATCATTCTGGAGACTCCCCTCCAGCCACTTCAGGGTCGCAGTTGGGGAATGAAGATGCCAAGTTCAACCCTCAGTACGGAGACTGGAGGAAAGAGCAGGGGGTGAGGGTGACTTGGGAGGGGCAAGGGGCCGCGGGCTGCTAAGTCTTCCCTCCTGACCCTTGCACAGCCTAACGGGCATCTCTGGGGTACTAAGAATTCTCAGTCTCTCCTCTCCCCTTTTGTGCCTGTTCTGGGAAGTCCACCTGACAGCTAGCTCTTCATCACTGTTGCTGCAGTTCCTGCTCATCGCTTTGCTCTGCATTCAGCAAAAGTGCAGTGAAGCATGTGTGCCAGCTCCCTTCCTTCCTGCTTCCATGAGTTTCCTCTTTGTCCCCAAAGCCTGCTGGCCCAGTGGTTGCGGGGGGGGGGGGGGGGACTTCGGGTCAACATCTTTTATTTATAAGGTGGCTAATTTAATCATAGTCTTCCTTTCTTATCCTCGGTGGCTACAGGACTGGCCTCTGGTCACTTTTACAAAAGCGCTTTCTCTCCTTCTGGGGTCTGGAGTCTGGGGCATTGCCTGCCCCCACAGGGATATGGAGCTTTCTTCTTGTCTCTATGTGACAGCCACAGACCCATATGAACACTCATTCACTTAAAAGCACACCTGATTGAGGCATGGGGACATGCATGAGGAGGGGTCACTTAGGAGAGAGATTTTTGGAGTGTCCACACTGACTGTGGGGGGAAAAATCCTTTCTAGAGGTAGAAGGAACACTAGGGAGAAGGAGGAGGGATCTCCTTGGAGTCCCCCAACCAGGGTTACCTTGGGCATTTTAGTTTTTCATTCACAGTTCTGTGGGGCGGCGGGATGAATGGTTGGCTGGGGTGGAGGGTGCAAGCTCCCTTTCCTTTACAGACACACTTAGCCTGGCCTTGTCTTTGAGATTGCCATGGGAAAGGGCAGCTGAGACTTCCGCAAAGAGGGCAGGGGCACTTACCGGAGAAGCTGGAGGGTGGCATCAAGTTGGGCGCTGCATCTCTCCAGGGCTGGGGCCTGTCCCATCCGAGCTGCACTTTGGCCCCTCCACCTCCCCTGTGTGTGTGACTCCCCACTCGCCACTGCCCGGCAGCCTGCAGCAGCAGCCGGCTGGCGGGACTGCTGTAGCTGCCGCCGCCGCCGCCGCCGCCTCTGCTGCTACTGCGGCCGCGTTGCCAAGACCAAGGGAGGGAAAGGAGCCAGAAAGCATCTCTCTCTCTCTCTCTCTCTCTCTCTCTCTCTCTCTCTCTCCCTCCCTCCCTCCCTCCCTCCCTTGCTCTTCTCTCTTTTTAAACCAGGCGAGAATGAGTCTGCAGCAACCCTGTTGGTGCAAAATAAATAAATAAAGCAACCAGGGAGGGCTGCAGCAGGCGCCGCCACTACGGGATGACGGAATCGGGGGAGGAGATGAACAGGGGGACTCTGGGGCTGGGGCAGGGTCTGCCACTGAGACTTCCTGGGAAGCTTGAAAGAGTTCTGACATCCTGGTTCCTCCTGGGGAGCTAGAGAGCTCCTGGGACGCCTCTTCCACAGCTTCCAGTCTCTTAGATGCAGGGCAGTTCTGTGCAAACTCTAAATCTAAAGGGGCCTGTGGGTATCATTTGTCGGAAGTTCTCAGTCCAGAATATCTTCCTGCGGCTTAGTTTGCCATTCCTCTAGTGCCGGGTACCTGAGCATCAGTTTCCAAGTCTCCCTGAGGGATTGCTTAGTTTGGGGGAAGGATCTGGGGGGCTAAAATTCCTATAAAACAGATGGATTGCTGACTTGACATAGGAACAAGACTGCAGAGCAAGCTTGTATCCTGGGCAGTCAATATTCAAGTCACCCACCACCCGAAAGTGTGCCCTGTACCTTTGCACAAGTGCATGTGTACACACACACACACACACACACACACACACACACACACACACACACTTCCAGCCTTTAAACTCATAAAGAATGGCACAAGTAGGTGTTTATGTTTGCCTAGCTAAGCCCTTCCCCTGAGAGGAACAAAAATCTCCCTGCGTCTCCTCCTCGGCTGCTTACACCTCCTAGGAGAGCCCACAGCTTTACAAAGCTGAGAGAAGTTCAGTGCAAGATTATGGCGGAGAAACAGGTCCCTGCCCTGTTCCTAGTCACTCCCTCATGCTGGAGTCGGTGGCACACAGGCACAGAGCTGGGATGGGACTGCCCTCCTTCCTCATAGAGAGGGCTGGGTAGAGGCTGAGGTCAAGGGCATCCTCCTGGGTGCCGGTCCTTAGGTTTCTGGCTGATCAGCGTCCAGTCCTCTGCTTCTCTTAGGGATAGTTCTTGGGACAGAAGACAGATGGCTGGTATGTTCTCGCATCCTGTATGGACTGGAACTCTTTCCTAAGACCCCCAGGCTTCTCTGAGCTGTGACCTCAGGGAAGAGGTTGTGTTGGAGGAAAGGTGTCTACAGGACTGCGTCACGGCAGGCAGAGGTGCTCTGTGCTCCATCTGTGTGTGTGGATGTGTGGCTCTGATTAGACTGGGCTCACAGAGCCGACTCAGAGTGTACCCACGAGGTTCCCATTCTAACTCCACCAGTGATGCTCTTGGCCTCCACTGCTCCCTCTCTCCACCCCCAAACCCTACAAAACCATTAGCCTGGCCCCTCATTTCCATCCCACCCTTCGTCTGTACATATCCAGGTATTTTAGGTCCCAGAAAAAGGGCAGGGTGGCCAATAACTTCTTTACTGAACTAAGAAGGAGGGAGGCAGAAAAATCTCAAGGATCTGAATTCTTGCTTCTGACTGCTTGCCACCACCAGTCTCTGAGCTAGGTCCATCTCCCCCAGCTGGAGAAATACGATGAGGTATTTGAAGGACTTCTGTGAGCTTTGGAGCCTAGAACTGAGTTCTCTTCATCCCGGTACCCAGATTTATCCCCCTGTCTGTTTGTTTTGAGTTCGACTTGTTTGTCCTACAGGCCTTTACATCCCGTCTACCCCCACACCTTCCAGAAGCCAGGGTGGAACTTATGGGAAATCAACCATAGCAAGCCTTTTCTCCGCCACCTGCTACTGATGTTCTGCCAGGCAAGCCTGGGCGTGGGGGTGGGGGACAGAAAACCAGTCTCAGTGTTTGCTCACTCCGAGGGAGACCACCCTCCACAGAGCACAGGAAGGTGGAGGCTGAGGGAACGGAGTCCAGGGAGACGGGCCATCAGGCTGAAGGAAGTAAAGTTGTCTCTCCTCCAGGTCACTTGGTTGGCCCCTCAGGGGACTCAACATCAGTGCTGAAGAGTTCCTTATAGAGCGGAGGGAAGGCAGCCTGGACCACGATGGGGTGGAGATGCTGGAAGATCTGCAGCTTTTCCACGTGCTGGCTGCACAGGCTCCGGAGTTTCCCTTTGGGTGGCAGCTGGGGATGGGTGAGGAGGGAATGAGGGTCAGTCCTTCGGGGCTTACCAGAGCAAACATGTCTTCTTGCTGTTGTTGAGCTAGGAGAGCCCTCCCTTCTACCCCACCCCCCACCCCTGCCCCCCACGCGGCCCCCGGGGAACAGTCAGTGCACTGGTGAGATGTATGCGTGTCTGCAGACGGAAGGGTAAGCGAGGACCGATGTGAGCCAGGTGAACCCGTCCTGGGTTCAGTTCTGAAAGCCACTTCTGTGCCCTCAGCACCGGGCCTGGCTTAGCAAGGGCGGCACGCTTGAAGGGTGGCCCACGTGGCTCTGCCTACCCTCGAACTGACTTTACTCCCACGGCTCTTTGTCTTGGTTCGTGTTGTTTCCTCATCTGGAATGCCTTTCTAATTCTCTTTTCTCCGCTGACTCTCCCCTTCCGGTGTTGTCCCCGCCGTCCCTTGCTGAGTTCCAGCCCTTCCTACAGGCTTCCTTCTGTGTACTACTTACCACACTGTAGAAAAAGGACCCAATTTGTCTGCCTTCCTGCTCCACATTTCCTAAGATGGGGTCCCTCGGTCTGTCTCTCACTAGGTCTCTTCCCTTCCCACTATAATGCTGGCATGAATATTCAAGGACTGCTTGTTTGAACTGAACAGTTTCTAAGCAGGTACCCAGCACAGCAAATAGAGATCAGTCCAGTCAGCCCTCAGCCAGAGGAAGAGGCAGCGGCCCCTGGGACAGAGGCAGGGAGAAAGACCCAGACACCATCATGTCTATGCAACTGTGAGCACAGCCAAGTGAGACTTACAGACACCTCTTTCTTACCATCTCCCCGGCTTAGCTCAGCTCCCTAGGAAAGTACCAGTCAGGGAAAAGCAGCAGGGTGACTCCCCCCACATCTCTTGAATTTATTAGCCTTGTGTGTTTTAGCTCTTTGAGTTTGCCTGGGTTACTACAATAATTTCTGTTATTTCTTCAAAAGATAATTGTCGAGAAAGTTGACAAATCTACATGAGGCACTGTCGTGAGCTCTGACGTAACATCAGTGAATAAAAACTGTACTTTGATTAAATGTGCACAGTAGCTGGGAAGTCATAAATACGCTCTATGCTGCCTAACAACCTTTTGGGGAATTATGAACCTCTGACTACAGTGGTTCCGTAAGGCTACAGGGGTGGTGGCAGTGTAGCTGTGTGTATTTGTGAGCACAACCTATGGTGCCTCCACAGTGTGAAGCAGTCTGGGATCTGAGAACACATTCCTGTTAGTACAGTATACAACTGTGTTTAGCACTAAAGCAGGATGAGGGATGGAGTCCTCCTCCTGATGGGGAATTGTTTAGGGAAAACCTCTCCTGAACGAAGGCATGGAGAAAAACAACTGGAAACAGGGAGGGGATCCTACAGGACACAGCAGCAGGTACAAAGGCCCTGAGAGAGAAGGGACCAGACTTGGTGTGTTGAAGGACTGGCAAGGAAACAGTGTAGTCAGAGTCGGGAGCCAGGAGTGGGGCAAGGTCAGGTAGGAAGCAGGCAGGGATGACATCATGGACCAGTTGGCCATAACGTAGACTCTGGAGTTGAAGTTTTGGCAGCCACAGGAAGGTGGGGAACGAAAGAGGCAGGTGATGGTCTTGCCTCCTGAAAAGGGCCAGCGTTGCAACGGAGGGAGTGCTGTGTGGCTCTGACATGGCAGACAAAGATAGGGTAGGATGTTGAGTTAGGAGTTTAATAGTCTAGTTGTGGCCAAGAGCTGGGGTTACGTCATAGAAGGTGTGATGTACTTTAAAAGTGGATCCTTGAGAATAGGAAGAAGCAAAGTGCTGGAGAGGTCCACAGAAATCCACAAAGATACCCTCACAATAGACTATTGGCAATGGTCGAGAGAAAGCCCGAACTGACCTACTCTGGTGATAGGATGGCCAAATACCCTAATTGTCGTACTAGAAACCCCATTCAATGACTGAGGGAACCGGATGCAGAGATCCATGGCCAGGCCCCAGGTGGAGCTCCAGGAGTCCAGTTGGTGAGAAAGAGGAGGGTTTGTATGAGCGAGAATTGTTGAGATTAAGCTTGGAAAAAGCACAGGGACAAATAGCCAAAGGAATGGAAACACATGAACTATGAACCAATAGCTGAGGAGCCCCCAACTGGATCAGGCCCTCTGGATAAGTGAGACAGTTGATTAGCTTGATCTGTTTGGGAGGCATCCAGGCAGTGGGACCAGGTCCTGTCCTCACTGCATGAGCTGGCTGTTTGGAACCTGGGGCTTATACAGGGAGGGACACTTGGCTCAGCCTGGGAGGAAAGGACTGGACCTGCCTGGACTGAATCTACTGGGATGAACTCAATCCTCAGGGGAGTCTTTGCCCTGGAGGAGATGGGAATGAGGGGTGGGGTGGGCTGGGCAGAAGGCAGGGAGGGGGGCGGGAGGGGGGAGAACAAGGGAATCCGTGGCTAATATGTAAAATTAAATTTTTTTTTAAAAAGTGGATCCTTCTGGGCATAGTGGTACATGCCTGTGATCTTAGCACTTGGGAGGTGGATGCAGGAGGATCGCAAGTTCAAGGCCAGCCCTGGCTACAAGAGACTCTGTCTCAAAAGAAAAAAAAAAAGATACAAAACACACCAAGTGGATCCAAGCACATTTACATTCCAATTGCTTTCCCAGGTCTAGTCCCTCCCTCTTTAAATCTATTTTGTTGTAGATTGAAGTTTACATTCCTCAGGGAGAGACTATTTGAGGTACACACGGCTGCATAAATGGATCCTTCACAAAGCAAATTCCCGAATGACAGCTCTGAATGTGGCATGGGCTCCCCATTGCCTAGAGCAAGGCCTTCACTCTTCCTGTGGCCCTGGAAGTCTTGGCTGCTGCTGGTCCTCTAACGGTTTGCAGGCCCACCTTCTGCTACTCACCTGCTTCACCGGTCCACCCCAGCTTCTGGCCTCACATGCACAAAAAAGTACCATGAGGGGCGGGGAGACGGCTCAGTCAGGTAAGTGCAGGCCTTCAAGCATGAGGACCTGAACTCAGTTTCCAGAACCCACAGAAAGGAAACCAGGCAAAAGCCGGGTGTGGTGGCGCACGCCTTTAATCCCAGCACTGGGGAGGCAGAGGCAGGCTGATTTCTGAGTTCAAAGCCAGCCTGGTTTACAAAACAAGTTCCAGGGCAGCCAGGGCTATTTAAACAACAACAACAACAAAAACCTTGTCTTGAAACAAACAAACAAACAAACACAAATAAAAAAGAAAAGAAAGAGAAAGAAAGAAAAAGATAAAAAGAAAGCTGGGCGAGGTAGTTCATGCTTAAAATCTGGACATTTGAGAGGTAGAGACAGGCAGATCTCTGGGGTCTCTCAGCAGTCCTAGGTCAATCACAGACATGAATGAATGAAAAATATAAAAAATATAAAAAGATGGCACCACCGAGGAATGATAGCCAAGGTTATCTGGCCTCTGCAGGCATACACATGTACATGGAAATGTGCGCCATGAGCCACCCTCCCTCTACATACTCTCTGGCCTCTTTAGAGTTCCACTCATCTCATCCCTAAGCCTGGATCCCTGCACTGCCCTCACCAATGCGTGTTGAAACCTGTGTCTTTCATGGCCTCGTTCTCTTGCTTCACATCTTTTTAAGGAGACATTTATGTTCTACTCCCTTTACCTTCAAGTTGTAGAGAATTTTTACATTTTTTATTTTTGTGTGTGTGTGTGTGTGTGTGTGTGTGTGTGTGTGTGTGTGTGTGTGTAGGTCAGAGGTCAACTTGCAGGAGTTAGATTTTTGCTCTCATCATGTGGGTCCGAGGGATCAAACTCAGATCCCCATGCTAGGCTCTGTGGCAAGTGTCTTTACCCACTGAGCCATCTCGCCAGTCCCTTAAATTATTTTGAACCCCTGTCTACACCATCATTTTTCCAAAAGTGACCCCCATTTTTAGAGGGGGGGTCTCATGTAGCCCAGGCTGGCCTTAAACTCATTAATAGCTGAGGATGACCTTGAATTCCTGTTTATCTTGCTTCCTTCTTCCTCCTGAGTGCTGGTGGTACTGGTACGCACTGCCGGTGTATGCTTTCAAAAGCTTTTATAACATTAAATTAGGGGCCCCAGAGGATATTGTCGAGAGAGCACTGGGATTAAGATTTGTGTTATCAATTAATACATGTCACTGAAATCACTTTATTGTTTCGGGAAGGTGTTAGCCCTGTTTGATTTTTAACTGCCTTAAGGATAAGAGACCTATCATCAAAAGCACTTTGTTAATCTCACTATTAAAATATCACACATTCTACTCCATATTAGAATTATATCAGAAGGTACGCAAATCCCTTTATACTAGATTGGAATTTCTTAGTGGGGACAAGAACTGCATCTCTGTATCTTTCCACGGAGCTTTGTATAAGCAGGTGCTGGCTAAGTGTCAGCTATATTAAACCGAATTGCTCCCTGGAGGTCTCTTACCACTCCGGGCTAACTTTCCATCTCTCTGTACACGGGAACAGTTGTTCCTGCAGTCCTCACTGCTGTTGCAAACACAGCTCTGAAATAACACAGCACCCCAGTACTCCCTCTGCTGTTCCCGGAGACCCTGGAACTGCCTGCAGGTCTCGTCTCCTCCAGCCCATGAACTGTTCCTACCTTGGCGAGGAGGCCTTGACGGTGAGTCTTGCAGAGATGGTGGTGGAAGGCCAGCTCCAGATTGTACTGCAGATGCTCCACTCTCCTCTTCTCTTGGAGCCCAGGTCGGTCTGAGGGAAGGGATGGGACCAGAGTGAAACAGAAACATCACCAACAGTCTTGCCCAGCAAAATGGTGTCACATATCTTTTTTGGAGGGGCCCTCTCAGTTGAGTGTGTGTGTGTGTGTGTGTGTGTGTGTGTGTGTGTGTGTGTGTGTGTGTTGGTTTGATAGCAGCAGAGATGGGACTTTGAGCCTGTCTAGCTAACTACCCGGGAAACTATAGTGACGAAAGGGGCGGGTAGTCTTAGCCTCCCAAATCCCCATAACCTGCTCTCTCACGTAGCTCATTCAGTGTCAGGCACTAGATTTCTGTCATGGAGGTAAAATGTTGGGAGAGAGCTTCCCCATTCCTACAAGAGTGACTCAGGTGACCTCCTGAAGCTGTCCAGGTAGGCACCAAGGCCTCTAAAGTAGTCTGCGGCTCTTTCAACTCCTAAACTACCTCTGCCTTTACTTCCCCCCAATACCCAGAAGTCATCTATAACGTCTTGCTTCCGGCTTGAGGCCATGTTGGCAGAATTAGAAAACTTGTACTGCTAATTAACAAACCCAGAGCGGCAGGCCCACTTCCCTAGGTGGATGTTTAGTGTTCAGCTAGCTTGGCCCAGATGCTCTGGTCCAGAGGAGTGGATCTCCAGAGCCTTACCACCACTGCAGGCATTCTGCCTCAAAACGGGCTCACACCAAGCCATCATTCTTAACCTTAATGGCTCAATGTGGAGGTGGTGGTTAAAATTTCGGGTGCAGCCCGGATGAGTTACATCAGAACGTGAAGTGGGACCCAGGCAGGCAATCAGTTCTCAAAGCTCCCCAGGCAATTATGATGCTGCAAAGGAGTCACTGCCAGGCACTGACCGGTAGATTAATGTCTTCTGGGGAAGCGGCTCATTTCCTCCCAAGCTCCCTTCTCCGTGTTCCTGCTGCCCCATGATAGGCTGCTCTTGTTCTGTCTTAAGGTTCCTCTGGATGTTTTAATCTATTTTATTTTACAGAAGCGCGGGGCAGAGCTCATTTCGCTATTTCAAGCACTCTCCCAGATTTAGCCACCTCCGAAGGCTTAGGTTCTCTATGAGCTGCTGTGTCCTAGCCACTAGAGTGCCCTTTCCCAGGCCCAGCCACACTCACTGGCGTTGATGAGAACCAGGGCTGTGTAGAGGGCAATCTCGTCCTCAGAAAAACGCAAGGCACTGAGGAAGTGGGAAAAGTCGAATATGGAGCTGATGAGCTCGCTGCAGCCTGCCGGAGTGGAGATGAAGAGAGTGAGCATGGTAACTGGTCTCCAAGGGCACCACCCTTTGGGCACTTAGAGAAGGGGGACCATCAGCCCTGCATAGAGGCTTTAGAGAGGACTGGCATCAGCAACTTCTCATTTCCCTCTGCCCCTCACCCAAGGCTCGGAACAGCTCCACGCCACCATATTTGCCTTCAAAAAAGACTGTATGGTTGTCAGCGTTGTAGGCCCGGCACATCCTGACAAGCACAACTTCCATTGCTCCTAGATAAGGGGGAGAGAGATGGGTGGGCAGTGTCAGGCAAAGCCAGGAACTGACTCCCCTAGTATCCTGGTTTCTTTAGGCCACCCCTCATGCTGTCTCCCAGGCTTGCTCTGTTTCCATCCCCAGCCCATGCTTTCCTCCCATCCCAGGGCCTGCCCATCCCAGGGCACCTGCTTTCAGTAGTATGATCTGGTCATTCTGGCAGAGCTCCATGAAACCCGAGAGCCGCTTGGCAAACTCTACCACATACTGAATGGCCTCGGTGAGGTGGTGGGCACAGCGTTCCCACATCTCCCACATTGACTGCAGGGACAGAGGAGGAAACCTGTGATTCTTCCAAGTCCCTGCACCCCCATAAACTGCAGGGAGTTGGTTCCACATTTCCGTGTTTCAACCTTCAAGCCTATTAGCACAAATGTACCCAGGGCCAATTCCTGTCAGTGGGTTCCACTTACTGATACTGCTGTCCCCCAGGCTCAGTATAGGGAAACCTGGAGAGGTATATAAGGGATGAAAACTTCTAAAAAATTTCTTAACTCCAAGCTACCCTCTTCCTGATTACCTGGTCTTTCACGAAGCCTATTCAACGTTAGGTGCTAGGATTCTGCTATGAGCAAGAAAAGGTTGGCAGCCGGGCGGTGGTGGCGCACGCCTTTAATCCCAGCACTCAGGAGGCAGAGCCAGGCGGATCTCTGTGAGTTCGAGGCCAGCCTGGGCTACCAAGTGAGTTCCAGAAAAGGCGCAAAACTACACAGAGAAACCCTGTCTCGAAAAACAAAAAAAAAAAAAAAAAAAAAAAAAAAGAAAAGGTTGGCAGAGAACTAACTCCCCAGACTCCTACAGAGTGACTCCACATAGGAGGTGATGACTTTCCTGAAACATGGTGTAGAAAGGGAAACTTTCTGATGCAGTGGATAAGGGGAAACCAAACAAGGTACGGTCTCACTTGCAAACAATGTACACATTGTTGCTTGCTGCTTCCCATGAAGTTAACTGAGAGATGCAAATGTGAAGTGCCAGCTGATTTCAAAGTCGCTGGTATCATCAGAGGGTGACAGAAGGGGACAGCAGATACAGTAGAGCCCTCAGATTTGAACTTGACTTTGGGTCTATCACTTTGTGGTCCTGAGCACCTCTACCTTGGTGTAAATGCTATTCTCAGAGGTCAGTTGTTGGGAGGGCTGAGGATGATCTCACACGTATGTCTAACCTTCGACATGGTGATAGGGCATGGTTATCTACAAAGCTCACACCTGAGAATCAAGTTTTTAAAAATCTCAGGTTTTAAAGCCAGGTGTGGCGCACACCTTTAGTCCCAGCACTCAGGAGCTAGAAGCAGGTGAAGTTCAAGACTAGCCTGGTCTACAAAGTGAGTTTCAGGACAGCCAGGGCTACTCAGAAAAGCCTTGACTTGGAAAAAACAAAAACAAAACAAAGCAACCCTCACAGTTGTGCACTGGGCCACATTTATCACCGTCTTTAGGCACATGTAGCTCACAGGCTGCAGGTTGGACATACTTCATCAAAGCCTTACTACAAAGACTGACAAGAAAGGTTATTCAATAAGTGGCCCTTAGATACTGGTTAGTGTCAGTTACTGATGGAGCCTGAAAGGCAGTGTGGCCAGGTCTGGATGGATGAGGAGGCAGGCTGCTAGCTGGGTAAGTTTCAATAAGCAGGAGCTAGGGCAACACTCTCATCTCGCTGCTAGGGTATAGACAAGACACACTTATTGGCCAGCCTGTCTGTGATACCCTACCGCCCCCCTACCTGTGCAAGTAGCCATCCCTGGGCTCTTCCGGTGTGTGTGTGGGTGATGCCCTCCCTCCCCTCGTGTCTCCTGCCCTCACCTTCCTCTGGTAGCTGGTCACCTCCTCCCTGGAGAAGAGGTTGGCACGCTGCCGCAGCAGGTCCTCCAGTCGCAGCTGGCAGGTCTCTCGGTAGGACTTGCAGACGTTCTGTACCAGGTACTCTGGGGCCGGACGAGGAAGGCACGGCTAGATTGCAGCCAGTTCCCACCCTGAGCCTCCTAAAGAGGCTCTCCCTGGTCTACCCTGCTCTGCCTCCTCCCTTGACTCTTTGTCCAGAATCCCCTAGTTCCTTAGGACTAACGTTCGGTTACAAGGAGTGCTGGGGAAAGTTCTCCCCTCATTTTCACCGCCCATCACCCTTCCCAGAGGCTCACCTATGTCTGTCAGAGAGGCGTACGGTGCCTCTGGGGCACTGCAGAAACTGGGACTGCAGTGGCTGTCTGGACCCTGTTCTGCTTCCCCCAGCTCAGGATGCCTGGATCCCTCAAAAGGAAGTCCACGTCTTCCAGAAGTAAGCTGGCCGGCTGTGCTATAGATGCTGCCTCTGCCTTCGGCTTTGCCTCGCTCGGGGCTGTACTCAAGGTGGCAGGAGGCTCCTTGGACCTCTGTTTTGGCCAAGTTGTTGGAATAGGGTGGCCCAGAGCCTGAGGCTTTCAGGAGGCCAGGGGGACAAGCGGAGGCCTCAGGTAGGTCAGGTGAGGCGCCCAGGGGCAGCTGCCCATCTGGGAGCCCCAGTGTGTATGTAAGGGTATCTGCTCCATGGCCCCCTGCTGGAGGAGTCTTGGCCACTTGTTCCTGCTGCTGCTGCTGCTGCTGTTGCTGCTGCTGCTGCTGCAGCAGTTGTTTCTGCACTTCTGCATGGAGACTGTCCCTCTGCTTCTTGGACATTCGGCCGAACTTAACAGCTGGAGAAGGTTCAGGAATCAGTACAGGGCAGGGTCAACAGGCACACGAATCTGACCCTGAATCGGATTTCTCCAGCTCTGTCTGTGAACTTTCTTTTTGGGAGCCAAGGCTCCAGGCTCCGCCCACAGCTGGTTCTGTTCCCTTTCGGATCCAGTATTTCCATCTCCCTGGCAAACTCTTTAGAGTTCTCACCTAGATGCTAATAGTGACCGAAACCAAGCACTGAGCTTAGGCTGGGGATTCTGGTCTCCGGAGACTGGGGCTGAGGTGGGGGCTGAGTAGGGGGCCTCGGGCCGTATTGGGGTCAGCGTGCCTGTCTGGGAGGGCTGGAGGAAGAGAAGGACTGCGAACACAGGTCTCCCTGTGGTCAGGCCTGCAAGCTCCCTGGTGACCTAGATACTCACCACAGCCCAACCCAGGCTCCGCGGCTTCTTCTGAACATCCTCTTCTGCTCTCTTTCCTGCCTTTTCGCTCCCCCAACCCCTCCCAGGTGTGGGGGCACAGCCCTGGGCCCCGCCTGCCCCTTTGCACCCCTGCATGTTTCCTTTCGCTTTGTTATTTTGAGCACTGAAAAGTGCTGACAGGTTCCTTCTGGCTCCTCCTCACCTCATCCCCCCCACCCCCCACCACCACCCAGGGCTCCTTCTGCGGTGAGGATGGTGGGTGAGGAGGGTGGATAAGACCCTAGGAACACCACACTCCATCCCCCACCCTTCTGGGTCATTCTCAGGCCAACTCTGATTGCGTTCCCAGCCACAATCCTGTGTCCGAGGATGGTTACTCAGGGTTCGGGAGGGAGATGAGATGGAGCTAAACTCGGGTGACAGGGCAGGACAGGACAGGACAAGGCAGGAGGTGACAACGTGGGAACTGGATGGGAACGAGGCCAGGAGAAGGCAGAATGAAGAGAATTCATTAGAGGAGGAGGAGACAAGAGAAGTAGGATACTGGTAAAAGTTTTCAGGAGCAGAGCCTGCGGTTGAGACCCCGAAGAGCCTTGGGGACCCTCAAAAAGATGGGGCAAAGGGCTATGGGTGGAAGAATGGCCAGAGGCCCCTGGCAGGGTGTTTCTGCAGGCCAGCTCTGACTGGCAAGAGGCAGGATGCCCCCTGGAGAGTGCAGGGACTCTGGGGACCTGTCCCCACATCCTCACCGTCTCGAGACATGCCCAGAGCCAGGCACTTCTGCAGGCGGCAGTGTTGGCACCGGTTTCGACTGGTGCGGTCGATGGGGCAGTTCTGCTGACGGGTGCAGGAGTAGGCCACATTACACTGTTGGCTGCGGCGGAAGAAGCCCTGGGGAGCAGAGACTGCTTATCCCACCCAGGCCACGCTCAGGGTGCACTGGTCCCAGGACTTTCCACATCTGGGACCCTGCCAACCCTCCCCCCCGCCCCCGCCCCCACTGCATAATTGTGATCGACCCTGCGGCCACTTTCCCACACCAAGACAAGGTCCTCCTCCGGCGTGCTCATGACCCTCACCAAGTGTGCGTCTGCAGACCAGCGCCCGCAACTCACCTTGCACCCCTCACAGGTGATAACCCCGTAGTGGATCCCAGACGACTTATCCCCACAGATCTTGCAAGGGATGACTTCAATTTGTGCTGGAAGAGAGAGAGAAAGGGAAGTTAGCCCAGGCTATTTTTCTGGATTCCACTACCGTGAACCCAGGGTGCAGGGGCAGGTGTCTGGTGCTTCTCCCACTTCTCCAGGGAGCTCCAACATGCCCTCTTGCCTTAGAGAAGGGGAAGTGAAGTGATAGATGCTTCTCAGCAAAGGGTCCGAGGAGGCTGTGCTTTTGTTCACAAAAGCAGCTGGAGCTGTATCAGCTTTTATGGAGGCAGAAAGCAGCTGCGAAGAGGCCACCTGCTTATCCCTTCAAGTCGAATATCTCCAGCGCCCCCCCTCCCCGCCCCCATCCTGTAGAGAGCCAGAGGAGTCCTTCATAACACCTGCTTCCCGCCCAAGGGGCTTCCTTTTGTGCCCCCCTCCCTACTGAGGTTTGGCTCCCATGAACAGAGTATGGGGCATGGCAAGAAGATGAGGTACACCAAGCCACTGGGCACTAGACATGTCAGTCATTCTTGGAAGAGACGGAAGGCCACCCAGGGACAGGCACTGAGGGGGACCAATGTAGTGGGGTACAGAGAGACTACGAAGAAACAGAGATGGAGCCTGGAGAAGGGCTCAACCCAGCTTTGCTGATTGCCCAAGAGCCCAAATAGGGTTTCCAGGCTGTTGGCCCCAGAACCAGCATGAAGTAGTGCTCCATGTATAAGCCTGTAAGAGGATAGACAAAGGCATCTGTGTCCGTCCGTGTGAGCACAGCCCATGACTGTTATAGCTGGCTGAGATTAAAACCACCTCACCCACCTGCTCCCTTCACAGATGAAGAACTAGTTTGCTTGAGTGCTGGGCCTACAGCCCCACCCTCCTGAACTGTTCATTACGTGTTAGGTGCAGGGCTTCTTGACCTGTGTGAAGGCATGTGTGTGTGTGTGTGTGTGTGTGTGTGTGTGTGTGTGTGTGTGTGTGTACAGATGAAAAGTATGTGTGGCTTATTGGGCATGATAGCACATGCCTTTGATCCCAGCACTAGGGAGACAGAGGCAGATAGATCACTGTGTGTTCAAGGCCAGCCTGATCTACAGATCAAGATCCAGGCTAGCCAGGGCTACATAGTGATTTATTTTTGTCTCAAGAAAAAAAAAATAAGAAAATAAAAGAAAGGAAAGTATATGTGGCCTGTGGATTCACACTATACTAGCGCATATATACATATTTGTTAGGTAGTCCTTGTTTACTGGCCACTAAAACCCAAGTTTTTTTTTTTTTTTTTTTTTTGGCCAGGTGGTGGTGGTGCACACCTTTAATCCCAGTACTCAGGAGGCAGAGGCAGGCAGATCTCTGAGTTTGAGGCCAGCCTGCTCTACAGAGTGAGTTCCAAGACAGCCAGGGCTACACATAGAAACCCTGTCTTGAAAAACCAAAAACAAACAAACAAAAACCAAAAACCAAACCAAAACAAAGAACCAAGTTTTCACTCCCACTGAACTTCTCAGTGCTGCCTGATCATTCTCAGCTGCGGCTGTGGCTGCGGCTGCTCCCAGGTTGCTTCCCTTTGCTCTGTATTATCACTGTCAGTCCCTACAGCTTTCTGCAGCATTTCAAGGGTCACCAAGAGGCCTTTCTCTAATCCTTCCTTGAAAGGGAGCTAGATGAGCTGGGTGTGGTGACACACACCTTTAATCCCAGCACTTGGGAGGCAGAGGTGGGCAGATCTCTGTGAGTTCGAGGCCAGCCTGGTCTACAGAGGGAGTTCCAGGACAGGCACCAAAACTACACAGAGAAACCCTGTCTTGAAAAACATAAACAAACAAACCAGACAAAACAAAAGAGCTAGAGGGCTGGGTACTCAGCTCTGTGGTGGAGCAGCATGCTTGAAGCTCAAACTCGATCTGCAGTTCTTTGTGGGGATGGAGAGAGAAGGGACAGCAGCTGGGTGAAGCTTGGAGTCCCAACCACTCTAGACGTTTCCAGCAGCTAAGGATTCGGTGGGTGGTGGTGGTGAGGGGGTGCCTCTTCTCACCATCATTGACTGACCTCTGGTTTTCTCCAAATGGAGAGGCTAGAGCCAGAGCAGGCCAGAAAAATGGTCTAGAGTGAAGCCCCTTCTCGTCTGGGACATGTCTCCCACACTAGGGACAGTGTGTCTCATGGACAGCAAATTCACTCCTATGTGAGCTCACTTCCAGCCTGGGCCTGGCGCCTGGTCACATGTGAGCCTGCTAGCTGGGTGGGGCTGCACATCCCTGTAATTCCAGCATTGAAGAGGTGGAAGCCAGAGGATCAGGAGTTCTAGGTTACCCTTGGCTACCTAGTGAGTTCTCGGCTAGCCTGAACTGTGCAAAAACATGTTTCAGAAAACAAAACCACACACAGGCCTGCTGATGCGAGGGAGAGAGGTAAGTCCGTGATGGGCCCACCACTTCCCAAAACATTCCATCATCTGTAAACCATGATCTTCTCAAGCTAGCCTAGAACTGGGTCAGACCAGGTAGCTGTCTCTTCAAGGGACGGGCCACATGAGTGTCTGCAATCCTCCCACCAAAACTCAGTTCTCTGTCCCACCCCCAGACATGCCTGCCGCCCGCCAACTGCACAGTAAGCTGTGGCCACCAGACGGCAAGTGTGCTTTTCAGATTGTTTCCTGTAAGTTACAGGCTCTGGAGGGAAGAGAGAACAAGAGGGGACCTGGGTGCCTGGAAGAGGGATGGAAAGTGTGGGGGCACAGCACACTTCCAGTCACAGCACTCTCAGCCTCGGTTCACTTGACAGCCAAGGAGGGTGAAAGTAGCCTTGCCTGTGGCGCAGGTCACACGGTTCTGGGGGGGCACCGTGGAGGAGCAGATCATTACAGGTTGTGGCTGTCTGAGATAAAGCGAATCCATGGGCATGGCAGGCTGGCCGGAGCACGCTGGCCGCCCACGGGCCTCGCTCCTACCTAACACCTTCTTTTCTCTCTACTGTGGTCTCTCTCTCTCTCTCTCTGGTGGCCCTAAGACCAGAGGGGGGGGGGGGAAACCAACATAGGTCACCCAGAAAAGCAAGTGGTAGGGAGATTAGGCCAAGCCACAGTGGGAACTCAGGCCCTGGCCCAGCAGGCAACCACAGGCCTCCCTACCTCTTCCCTTCTCCAAGAGCCACATCCGTGTGCGTGTGTACACTGACCGCACGGATGACCCCAGTCACACCTCCCTGCCCCATACTTGACCCACGGTCGGTCCTAGCCCAGGAGCCTTACTGCAGTGTGGCTAAGACCTTGCCTGTCTTAAGAGATTTGGCCGGTCAAGGACGGTGAGATTTGGGGGCTGGGGGAGCCCCGGACGCCAGCTACCAGCCCAGCCTCTCCTCTGACTTCCCCATCATCCGTCCAGGGCAGTGGTCCACAATGAGACAAGGACACAGAATCGGAGGTCTCTGTGTTAGACTCTCTAGCCAGATGAGCTAGAAGGCTAAGAGGTTCGGGGGAACTGGGGGAAAAGAGTCAGTTAAAGCAGTGGAGAGAACAGGAATAGAGGGAAGCTCCTGCTGTGTCCTAGTCCTGTGCCCGACCCTCCCCTTGACCAGGCCTCTTGACTTTCTCCAGTATACTTCCCTACACCTGCACTCCTTTCAGTACCATCCACCCCAGACACTTAAATATCAAAGAAAGCACCAGCGTGCGTGCGTGCGTGCGTGCGTGCGTGCGTGCGTGCGTGCGTGCGTTCGCGCGTGCGCGTGTACGTATGTGATCTGGGGAAGAAAGGAGGGGAAGGGCTGGTAGGGAGTCGGTGAGAGGAGTTGAAAAACACTGTCCACAGGCAGCCTTTAAGACTCACAGGGTGAGCCAGTCCCTGAACAGCAGGCCATGGGAACCCAGTTTGGGGAGGGGGAGCTGAGTAATCACAGGATTACTCAAACTGTTGCCTGGGAGCCTAGTCTGCCAGGAACTTACCACCTCAGGGCCCAGCGGTGCCAGGAACTGGAGCCAATCAAAGGTCAGGAGCCCCTACCCAGCTCCTGCCCCATGGCTCCCACAGCAGCCAAACACTGCTGATAATGCTTTCTTAGGATTTTTTGTGTCTTGCCTGCTGCTCTCTCATGGCGCCTTTCTCCCGAAGGTCATGCAAAAGAAAACCTTCCAGCTGGGAAACCTCAGCTGTCAGAAAGATGGGCCAGGAGGGTTGCCATGAGTTGCAGGCTAGCCTGGGGTAGAGTTTGAGGCCCTGTTTCAAAAAACGACAACAAAGCCCTCCGATTTCCATTCTCACAAAAGCGAAAATGCCTGGTGCAGGCCAGTGATGATCGAGCAAGCGGGTGGTCTTGTTGAAATACAGGAGCTGGAGCTGCAGATGGAGCTCAGCAGTGGAGGGCTTGCCCAGTGTTCACAATGTTCTGAGTGCCATGGCCCCATACCACAGAACAAAACAAAAGCAGGTCTTTGTTTAAGCAGCCTGCGGCAGGGCTTGGGAGAATCCTATACTTTAATGAGCTCCAGGACGGCTGCCTCTTTGCCTGGAGACTATACTTGGAATAGCAAGATTTTAGTCCCTCTGGTCACTTTTGTGCCAGGCTGCTCCTCCTCCTAAGGGGTCAAGGTTAGTTTGATGATCTCTTCCCGAGCCCATTCCTTATACAGGCCAGCTCACGGAGTTTATCCCTGCACCTTCCCTGCTAATGTAATGTGAAAACCATAATTATGATGTTTCAGCCCTGGGAAGCTCCCGGGGGGAGCATCTTAGAACCCCCCACTAGGAGAAATAAGGTAGAGGCAAGCACCTCTGCCTCCTACCTCCTCTGCTCTTACCCTGCTCACAGCTGCAAGATTCATTGATAGTGCTTTTTGACTTGATCCAGAGCTGGGCCCTGGGTCCTGGCCAGGTGCCTAGCCACAGAGAGGAAGTGGTGGGAACAGAGAGGGGCTGCAGCTCAGGGGGTTCTCACTCCAGAAGCCCCAGTTGCAGGGAAGGAATGGTTTAGGCAGAGGCATGCTAGGGTTCTCTCTTCTGTTCCTCTCTCCTTCTTTCCAACTGATACTGAGTAAGGAGGAATAATAATGAAA